ATCTGTATCTTTCTCTCTCTCTGCTCTCTGAGGATAGGCCATGGATATACTCTGTGTGTTGTCTGACGATCTGTGTATGTGGAGACTAAACAAATATTAAAACAACAAGCAGAATCACATTGCTGCTATTATTTCAGTTTTTTATTCAGTGGTGTTGGGAGGAAATCTGCTCACTCACATGATTTTTTATCTGGAAAAGCTGCAAATGTTTTAGGTATTGTGTTTTAGCCAAATAACAAACCATTTTAAAATAAAGATTCCCAGGAGAATAGAAGCCATTGCTTTCCAGAAAGGGCTGGGTAGGTTTTTGTTCCTGGATGGGCTTTCTGTTGACTCAGTCTGCACTTGTTTTGACAGCCAATTACAGTCCTTGGTAGGTGAAGCTGAGCTCATGCTCCGCATGGAAAGTTTTACAAACACACAATCACCCCAACACAATACTCTGGAGCAGAGGACTCCTGATCCTACAGATGTTCCTGACCAGGAGGACGGGAAGTTAGTTTTCCAAGTAGAGCATGCTAAGCCACCAAAGGGATCATAACCAGATTCAAATGAGAGACTTTCCAATCCCGTTCAGCTCTTAGAAAGAAGTCTGGGCCTTGCTTCTCTCATCAGCGATAGTGGTTATCACACCCAATCCACAGCACTCAGGACCTCACTTATTCTAACTCCTAGTTGCCAAGCCCTGGGCTAGGCACTTTACATAATTATTTCACAATAACTCCAGAAACTAGGACTCAGAGAGGTTAAGTAACTTGTCCAAAGTAAACCAGCTAATAAGCGGCTGTGCCTGAATTCAAATCCAGGTCTGACTTCAGAGAAGTAAATTAACTTTAATATATTATAGATTCAAGCCAGATAAAATGTAGGTCAATTTTGAAGAAAAGCTTTAGCAAGTCCAAACAGCAACAAACTAAAAACACAATTCAGACCAGTAACGACCTGCCTTAAGGCTGAAAAGCTAAAGACACCAGGGTCACGGGTAATGGCCAAGACAGGTGGTATGATACCCTCTCAGCCCCATTCACTACAGTCTTTCTCTCGCTCTTTCCCCTTCACCCTCTCCCCTTTTCCCCAATTTCCTTCCCTTCTTTTTCCTATATCCCTCTTTTTTATTTTTCTGTTTCACACTGTAGTATAGCGAAGAATATGAACTTTGCATTCCGATGATCCTGTGTTCAAATTTAAGACACATTTCTGACTTCGGGCAGATCATGTAACCTCTCTAATCCTAAATTTCCTCAACTATAAAATAAGGATAAACTCTTCTACCTTTTAGGCTGTTGAAGGGATCAAATCAGATGATATGTATAAAGAGATGACCAGGTCGCTAGTAGACTAAATGGAATTTCTCTTTTTAACTTTGGGAATCAGTAAGGCTTGGTGGAAATGACATGCAATTTAGAGTTGGACAGTCTTGGATATGAATCCCTGCTCCACCGCTTATTGGCTAAGTGATCTGGGCAAGTCTTGTAAGCTTTCTGTGCCTCAGTTTCCTTATCTACAAAATGGGGTAAATAACATTGATTTAACAGATTTGGAGAGATGATCAAAAGAAAGGATAAACGTTTAGAATTTACAAATAGTTAACAAATAAAGCTGCCTCTCAATAGAACTTGCAGTAGCTGACTTGTTCTCCAGAGGCTCCTGTTGGTTGACACCTAATCTATTTACTCAAGTGTGTCACCACTAAGGGCTGGGAAGGGCTAAAACACTAGGGAACTTTTATCTCGAATCTATCTTTTGAGGCTGTAAGATAATAAAAAGAGGTAGAATGGTACAATGTAATGGAAAGACCACCACAGGTAGCACGAGTCTAGTCCCACTTGAGCATTAACTGCCTGTATATCCCCATATAAGTCACACGGCTGTATCTGGAACATGAGGGAGTTGGCATAGATTAGTGGGCAGTGTGTGGAAATGTTTTTGATTGTCATGACTGGGACTGCTTCTGGAATCTAGTGGGTAAAAGCCAGGGATGCTGCTTAACATCCTAGAGTGCACAGGACGGACCCTCACAACAGAGAATTATCCAGCCAAAATATCAATAGTGCTAAGGCTGAGAAGTCCTGGCCTAGATGACCGCTAAGTTTCCTTCGAGCGCTCACATTCTAAGATTCTGTGATGAGGCCAAGCCAACACCAAATAGGTGGTGTGCTTGTCAATATCTATCAAGCAATGGCTTATAATGTTGCTCAAAATTCCCCTAAGGTCAGTGGGGGGAGTTTCCCTCAGATATTTGGATATTCTCAAATCAGTGATATATTTCTGAGGGTGACAAGAGTCCTTCAGAACAGGAAGAGACCCAGAGATCAGGCGGCACAGTCCTCCAGGGACTTGGCCCCTTACTCTTTGCAGCTAGAATCAGTGCTTCCAAAGCTATGAGCTTCCTTTTGGGCAAGAAGATGATTTAAATAAGCCTGAATCAAGGTCAGAATACGATATGATACACACAACAGCAGAGATGAATCAACTACATCATGCTAAGTGAAAGAAGCCAGACTCAAAAGGCTACACACAGTTTTGTTGCACTTATATGACATTCTGAAACAGACAAAACTGTAGGGGCAGAAAACAGATTGGTAGTTGCCAGGAGCTGGGGGTAAGGAGAATAGTTTGACTACCAAGGGACGTAAAGGGATTTGGGGGATAATGCACTGTTTTATATACTGATTACAGTGTAAGCTACACAACTGTGTTTGTCAAAACTCAAGATCTGTACACTAAAAAGGTGAATTTTACTGTATATAAATTACACTTCCGTAAGACTGACCCCTCTCCCCACGTCTCCCTAAATATGATCATAATTGCTGGAGAGAGGATAGCTGCACTTTGGGACAGGATGAACCTGATGACATCTAAATTCTTTCCTACCCCAAGTGCTATGATTTTTTGACAATCTGCCTCTCCTACCTCTGGTGACCTCAGAGCCATAGTGATTAGGGTTAAGTCTGCACTCCAATTTCTGTGTTAAAGTAATGAGCTCCCCTGCCACCATTTTGCGACCTCTAGCCTGTGACAAAGGTTCCCTTCCTTCTCTCTCCTATCCTGATTTCCCTTGGGACCAATGAGGGCCTTAGACAATTAATAAACAAGCCAGAATCAACCTCAGGAGACACCGGTTTTATCTCTCTGCACAGGCTTCCTGTCCAAATCCTTGATCTTTCCATTGAACTTCAAGTCAGGCCATAGAGGAAGAATCTTATTTATGAATTGCCTTCATTACCGGACTACTGGGCTTCTACTAGATCAGTTTTATACACTTAAGCTACATAAATGTAAAATGTGAGCTTCACACCAAAATCCTACCTAAGCTCGTTGATATATATATATATAAAAATAAATAGAGATGCGCAGTTTTGTTTATACACACCTCCCAGATTATCATCTATCATGTTATACAAAATCGTTAATTTTTCTTAGGTACAGAATAGCCCTCGGTGTGCTGTGGCCAGGGAGGACTGAAATAGCTAGCAGTATGCTCACACTTTCTACTAATAGAAAGACCACACAGTCTTCTACGCCACAAATAGTCATAATGGTGAACTGCTATAGGAGTCCCATCCTCTGATTTGAGAGCCAGTTTCTTTCCTGGCTCTTCTTAGAGAATGTCAGTGGAACAATTACAAACACCAGTAATAACCAGACACCTCATACACATCTGAGTGCTGAGATAAAAATTAAGGGCCGTAAGACAAGCCTGGACCTGCCAGAGTCCTCATATTCCAAAGGACAGAGAAGACTTGGTAGGGACCAAGTAATGGCCACACTGCTTTTTTCTGCTGAGCACTTATAGCTAACGAATTGTGACTACAAAGGGAGGGTGCTCATGTTATAACAGAAGGGACCCACAGAGACAACAAATCTCACAGTGGTCTGGGATCTTGTTTCCACATGTTCCCATCAGAAGGGAAGAAGCAGGGAATTACACTTCCATGGTTTAGAACTATCCAACCATCTTCAGAAGTCTGCTTCCGTGGTAACTCAGTACTGTCTTCTAAGTCACTGAAACTTGATAACATTGTACCTTTGACATAATTAGAAAAAGTTTCAAGGAAGACTAAAATACTTAGAAAACACACTTTGGCTTTTTATTCAAAGGTATATAGACTGATAGGCAATGGTTGCTCAGGGTTCCCCCCAAAATATTTCCATTTCCAATGTTATTTCCTAAGGACATACTCCTGTAGTGTTTTCTTTCATATGTAAGTATGACCATACTGATCCATGAAGGCCAACAAACAGTTTTTCTAATTTTAGGGATGGACTGTCACGGAGAGTGCCATGGGGCTGCTGGGGTGAGGGCTAGTGCCTGTGATCATAGAACTGAATGAGGCAGGCTTGCTGGCCATCATGGGGACTGAATACATTACCTTCGGCAGCATAAACCAGAACAATGCTGCTGCTTCACAGAAACAGGGAGAAGTCCTATAGATCCACCTGGCCAGACCTGCTCCCTCAGAAACTTGTGAGAGAGCTGGCAGCACTACCAGCCACAGGAAGGGTGACCAACAGCCTTAGCTGGCAAAGCCTGGCTCACCCTCTCAACCCTCATCAGATCAATAGAATTCACCTCCTACATACATTGCAGGTTAGCAGACTAGCCATATAGCCCTTGACACTCAGCCCAAGCCTAAGACTCAACGAAGATACCGGCCTCTAGGATCCCTGGGCCTTCCTGTTGCCTACAACACAAGGCCACATTTGTGGTGAGCCCATTTACCTACCACTACTACCTGAACTAACCTGTGCCCACCTGAATCATGCTGAGGCCCAAGCCTACATGGGCACTAGCCAACATCCATGCCCTGAGCAAGCAGTCCTTTCCTCTTTCTGCCACTGATGCCTCTCACCACTTCTCAGATCCAACATCATTAGTTTCTGACCGAACTATCATAAGTAAGAAATAGTCAGGGTCCAGATTCCGTGTTAATTTCCCAATAATTATACAGTTATGGAAAAAAAAACAACTGAGAAGAGTGAAAGGAAAATGACATTACCACATCCTGAGATGCATAGTGGGGGTCCTCTGGGTTGACAGACCAGTAGCAGTAATCAAAGCCGAATGCCACAACCTTCTCCCGGGAGTCACCAAAGCCATCTGATCGGCTGTCCACCTAAAAATCAAACATAGGGTCCAGTGTCTTCTCTATTACAATATCAGAACATGCTTAGTGGTGCTTGACTCCTCTCTGCTGTAGCTAGAGAGACCTGGACTGGTTATGAGAATCTTTATATCTACCTGAAAAAGAAAAAAAAGTGACCTCTGTCCTCATCTTGTTAGGAACGATAAAGCCCCAGAGAATTAAACGCCTGTCTATCATACTATCATGTATCTGCCTATATATGAATCAAATATATGAGGTGTAAGACAGCTTGAGAGAGAAAACCTTTCCCTCTCTGGGCATCTTCTTATCATTTCTTAAGTATTTCTGTAGAAGATACAGAAATGCATCAGTAATTCAGTCCCTGGGCCTGACAGGTTCTACCAACTGAGGGCTTTCACAGAGGTCCTTGGGTTCCCACTCCCAGTGAATCAGGAAGCATGTTGGTCAGAAGAGCAAGGACCAACCCGACTGTCAAAGGTACGTGTAGATGAGGGCAGAGCCAGAGCTTAGAACTGCAGTGACCTCCAGGTACCGTACTGGAGGAAAGTGACATTATTCACAGGAATACCTCTTTTACTATCTAAAATTTAAACTCTGGACAGGTAGAAACAACCTCTAGCACTAAGCACCATGAACCACAACAGTAGAACAAGGTGTCAGAATGACTAAGAGATTCGTAGTGGATAACTGACCTCAGGGAAGGAAGCAACCAGCAAGGTGTGCAGGGGGCAGATTAGAGTTTGCTGTTGGCCAGGATTTACTCTTAAGAACCAAAAATATGAGCTCTCAGAACAAAGCAGCTGAAGTGATTAGGCAACAGATATAAATGAGAGACAGCAGAGAATAAAAGGTCTTTTGTCCCCAGGGAGGCTCTGTTGAAAGTTTGGCTGGTCTTGTTCCCTTTTAGCAGAGAGCTACTGACAAAAGGAAACATCACATCACAGGAGTAACACAGGAGTGGGCATGGCTGGGAGGCCTGGGGACCAGATAACGCTCACTCCAGCAAGTCAGCTTCCTGAGCTCTTCGGAATGCTGAGTGCCACCTGCAAGCTGAGGACAGCAGCCATCACATGGCCAACTTCCCTGTTTCCCTTCACTCTCCAAGGCCCAGAAAAAAAGAATCCCTTCCACTTCCGCTAGCCTGGCAAAGGAGAAATGGGATGGAGGAAATTAGCCTTGGGGGAAGGGGTGGGGGAGGAAAGGAAGTTCCCAGAGTTTGTCCAATTGTGACTCAAAGATCAGTCGGATCAGTGCAAGAGAATTTGTGACCGACTCCCTTCTGGGATCTGAAGGTTCTTACTTGGTCCTCCCTAGGCCAAAATGAATACTGCATTAGCAGATGCATACTAAAATCCCTAGTAACACCTCTAGACAAAGTGATATCAAATGAGAGGCGTGGACAAAGTCTAACTGGTGGTCAGGTGGATTAAGTTTACATATGGATTGTCCCCAGCATGATTTAAACTAGCCACGGCCCCCATAACATCCCCCATAACATCCCCTGCGTTTACTTTCAAAGCAGCTACTGACCAGTTTTCAAAACAGCTGCACCCTATTTATTCGAATTTGGGCTGCAGCTGCCACATCCCCTGCACTTCTTTCCTGCTTTGATTTTATATTTGCTTTGTGCTTGGTCAAAGCTCTTCCACTCCCTTCCTTCTCTAGACACATTCACATCCACACCTTCACCCCAGAAACCCCTCTGACTACTAGCCCCTCCGTGAAGAGGAAAAGGAAACAACTTCAGGCTTACCTTTAAATTCGTGATTTTTGCCACTTTGCCATCAACTTCCACAATAATTCTTCCTCCTTCTTTGGTCTCCCTAGAAACAAGACCCAAACCCATATAAGAAACATTGCTTTTTCTTTCTTAATCAAGAAAAAAGCTGAGATCAGCGCTATTGGGACAAAACATTTCCCTACTGCTGTCTCCATACCTGGAGTGTCTGTCTCCACAAATGGCTGTAAACATCACATCAAACAGTCCCCTAGCTGGCACGCTTCTCTAGATCATTAGTATTTGGCTCTGAAACAGCTAACAGTCACCATTGTTGAGTATTCCCTATAAGCTAGGCACTGTAGTAGGTACAGTACAGATTGTACTTGTGCAATCTTCCCAACACAGCCTCCTGACATAGTTTCCTAAGATTATCTTCATTTTTACAGATGGAAGATGAAAGCTGAAAAAAATTATGAAACTTGTCCAAGGTCACACAGCTAGCAGTGGTAAATTGGGATTTAAACTCAGATTTGTCTGACCACAAAGCCGCACATGTTAGAAATCAGGCTTGGAAACCCTGGAGAGTATCCTCAGCTGGGCACATAACCTAGCATCACCTCTCGTTTTCTCTGGGATTTTGAGCACAGATAGTAGTGAAAAAGGTTTTGGAGTCCTCTCTGTTGAGATCTGGAGAACATATTTCCCAAATCCTTTCCTTACATCAAAATGAGAGCTAAGGTCCTTAAGAATCTTCCTATGTTGCAGTTATATAGTAATGCTGTTAACTAACCAACCCCTATTTCCAAGTGACCCACATACTTAAAACCAAATATGAAGGGAACATACTCCATTCTAGATACATAATCTTTTCTCATACCATAAAGAGCTTTAGCTGAAGTGCTTACAGCAAAAATGTTAATAGATGAGAAGTTCATTAGCACTTCCTAAACTACAGGGAAAGTTATCAATTAAATCACTCCTAGCCTGACACCTGAAAGTTGAGAAAATACATTCAGTCTCATCTTATCCTCCCTCATAGATCCCAGGATATGACCTTGAGGACTGGAGGGAGATGCTGTGGATGGACTGGGGTGTGGGGGTGTCTTTAAAGATTATTTTTTTAAACCTGTCAGTGAGTCTGAAATAAAACCCTCGATAGAAAATTTCCCTCTCCCAGGTAATGACACTTCTGATATTTAAATTTCCTCAAGGCTCTAAGGTAAGGCTTTTTTTTTTTTTCGTATTTCATACTAGATAGAATTTAAGGCAGCAGAGATATTCTTCATTTCTCAGGATCATTCAATGTATCCTGTTCCCCTGCCAAACCCTCAGGTCTCTTAAAGAAAATCTTTCATCTTTGGTGTTCACATTTTACAAGATAATTTTTTCTTCTTCCTGCATTATATATTGTAAATTTGGACAATAAAGGAAATACAAAAAAAAACCATGCAATAACTTTTCAAAATCTATTATCCAATTTTTTTAAGTCTGCCCTTTCTTGAGAATTCATCTAGGACTCTGGTATAAAGCAGCCAAAAAAAAAGTGTCCTAACTTGACCTCTTGGCAGAAAGATATGACACCATAGGAGGGTGAGATGCTGTTCCTCCCTTGCCATTTGGTAGCCTAGTGGTCCCAGAATATTCTAGAACAGAATGAGGGTGAACTAACGTTAGGCAGATCAAAAAGAAAGGGCGACAACCTCAAATGAGGCCAGACAGCTCAACAAAAATCTACTCAGGGGGAAGGAGCCTTACACAGTGGAGCTACTACCACTTGTCTCTGGGTCCTGAATTCCACCAACAGCCATTCATTCCTTAGGGTAAAAGGTTTTGCACAGGGGTAAATCCTCAGTACACATGTATACTCCCAGGGCAGTATTCCTCAAAGTGTGGTCCACAAGCCACCTTCATCAGAATTACGTGAGATGGTGGGGCTAGTTAATTCAAATTCCTGTTAACAAGATGCAGTATAACAAGCTTCCCAGGTGGACTGCATGCATACTATAATTTGAGAATCATTGTCATAGAGGGGAAAATAACCAAGCCATTACCACTTATCTATTCATTTATAAAACTTGAAAACAACAGACAGCTAAGTGTAGGGAGGAATAAAAACAGCTGTAAAAAATTATATAGCTAACACTTTATTGGACACTTAAAATGCTAAGCATTTTAAATGTATTCTTTCATTTAATCTTCATAAAAAACTAAAGTAGTTATTCAATTTTATAGATTTTTTTTTAAAAGCACAGAAAGAGAATATAGCTTATGAAAAGTAACTTTTGACGGGGCATGGAGGGTGTTCCAGGGCCTACAGTATTGGCGGAAGAGAATGTGTTCTCCCAATGATGAATGATTATCTGTAGTCAAGGGGCAGCACCTCATAATGATACAGGCTTTCTAATTATGGGAAACAACTGTGACATAGAGGGGAGGGCATCAAAACCATTTCCCATATTGTCATTATACTGACAGATGGTCAGTTCTAGTCCTCCCGTGCAAACAGGCATTTGACTGAGAAAGACGTGCAACTTTTGTGTAATCTCAGGAAGGAACAGCTTAGTCTGGGAAATGGAATCTTGGCTCTCCCCACTTTTAGCTTTAAACAAGGCCACTTTCTCACCTGGAAAAACAGAAAAATGGAAGCTTAGACCAGATTTCGTCCCAAGTACAACATCAGATCCAATGACTGTTAACCGAGTCTTGTGCCAATGACTGATTTGAAGGTTTGGACCAAACTACATAACCAGCAGATTCTCTACATTCAGATGAACTTCAAGGAAGATGCTGGAAGTTAACAAACCCTGAAGAATAGCTGCATCTCTGCAGGATTCTGTGAGAAGCGGGGAGTGATCTCAACTTCTTAGCTGGGGTCACACTGGGATTCTCCATATCTGCCCCTGAATCCACGCTCCTGAATCTTCAGGTATATAATCTGTTCACACCTGGATATCTGCAGGCGTGGCCTTCTACTGCCTGCTACTCAAGGCTCATAACCTGAGCTAAAAGTAAGCAAGCTTCTGGGCCCTTTCCCACTCACTTTTGTTTAATGAGACATTATTCTCTACTGTTGCTGCAAATAACTCAACTTCAACAGCATTTTCTTAATCCAATTCATGCTATTATAAATTCCTACTTCCCAAGGAACAGAGTGCTGTAAGAAGTGGTCAATATTATCCTGAGCACCCTTAAAACAATAGTTTTGCAAAAACAGGATCTGCCAAAGGCTATCTTCAGGGTAGCAGCTGTACCTGTGAAAACCCCCCAACCTCGAGCCACAGCTAGTAATGCAGAAGCCCGATGTCATAAGCCATCTATCAATCTAAACACAGCAGTTCAGGCGCATGCTGCTTTCCTTCTTTCTTCATTGTATTTCTTTTGCCTTTTTCCTATTTTCGGTTTTTTATTGTTTCTTTCCCCCATTTCATTCCTCTCATTCTGTAAATTGCATGACTTCTCAAAGCCAATCACCTCCATATCAGGACAATCCCTGCTAGTATCGAATTTTATTATGGAAGACGATGCCTTTTTTGACCCTTCTGCCCAATTGTCAAGCCATCTTATGTGCTGGAAAATTTTAAACCTCCCAAATAATTTCAGTATGTGCCACTGGTCCCTGGTCCCAATCCACACTCTCCACGGATTTATCTTCTATCACTCACCTCCTTCCCCAAACAGCCAAAACTTATGTTTCCTAACAGCCTAAGTCCTTTGCCCTGTTTTTACTAGAGTGCTTTTTACACCTTCTCCACCTGTTGAGCGAGCTCTAATAGATCTTTAAAAAACAGTTCAAACACTAACTCTTCTGTGAAGCCTTCCCTGACTTTCCAAACCTATGAGTGTAGAAATCAGTGAAAAGGGTAAGAAATTATGTGGCAGGATCAGATTCAACCATGAGGAAATGGGCACTGACGATGTTGAGAGAAAGGGTTAGAATAACTTCCCCTATTTCACTGTTCTGCTGTAGAGCATAGGATGAAACCACGCTCTCTGAGCCTCAGTTTCCCTCTCATACCTTACTGCCTGCCTTTCTGCACATCTTCGCAGAGAAACTCATGTGCACCCACAATTCTACCTCAGTCCTCGCAGGTACTCCAGAGCCACCAAGAAGGGAGAAGAGACGGACAATCCCTCTCCCCGTAATGATATATTCCCAGACATTCTCAAGGTACCCAGTGAGAAAAGCCCAACCCGTGCGCCAAGACTGGAGCAGCGGTCCCTCGAAACTCCTGCTGGCAGGACTCCAGGGACGCGGACACTGGGCAGCCCACCCCCAAGGCCATCCAGGAACCGCTATCCCCCAGAGTACGAAGGGAAAGCTCGACCCGAGGCCTCAACATGCCCGGCCTTTACGATTTCCGGACCCTGACCCGCTGGGCCACTTTGTGTCTGATTTCTCCACGCCGGAATCACTTGAGGGGGAGGCAGGGACCTTGCTCTCCTCTCAGCTCAGTTGATGCCTCAGGCGCCCCCTCCCGCCCAGACTCACCTCTTGCTGAGTGGCCGCACCCTCACGGCCACCCGCACGTTCGCCATCCCTCGGCCTTGGCCCAAACTCCGCAGGTCGGCCCAGCAATAGCATCACCAGCCCCAGCCCCAAAGTTAGCACCAGCCCGAGCCCGGCCCCGCCCGCCCCATGCTTCTCCCGGGATAGACCCGCCCATGCGCGCGCCACGGACCTGCGGGGGCGGTGCCTGCCGAGCTTCGGCCAATCCTGAGCCCAGTGGGCGGGAGGACGCTCGGCCAGGCCCGGCCCGCCTCGCCCCGCCCCGCCTCGCACTGCCCACGCACCTCCTGAGACGGCCCCGCCCACACGCGCGCCCTAGGCCGGTCTGGGCGGTGCCTGCTTAGCCTCCGCCAATCCTGAGCCCCCTGGACGCTGGAGCCCAGAGCCCGGCCCTGTCGACCGGGTGCGGCCGGGAACGCCTACTGGGAGTTAGCTATTGTTCTCGAATCGGCTAACAATACTTGTTGAGTCAAGTAAGTCCGTTAAACTTTGGTGAACGCCAGTTTACATAATTTGCTAAGTACGTACTTTTATTCGCTGCGTTGACCTGAGCTATCGATTCTGTGGTTAAATTTTAGGGACAGAAATGAAATAGGGAACACCGATGTTTTTGCAGTTCCCAGCAAAGAGCAGTGTCATTCTTTGAAGAGGCATTTGGAGTGTGAAGGACTTTATAGAGTGCTCACTGGCGAACTCTCGATTGTGCTGGAACCTCATGGCCACACTGGCAGTGTTTGTGGTGGCGGAGGGAATGCTTTCGGTCAGAATCGGTTCATTAATTCATCCCCAAAATAGCCATCGTGTACCTACCTAAAGAGTCAAATGCTCTTCTAGGGTTTTGAGGATACAGTCTGCCTTCGTGGAAATTGAAATCTATAGAAAAAAGACAAATATTTAAATGTATATACTATATCAAATGGCGCTGAGTGCATTTTTTTTTAAAAAGCAGGGTAAAAAATACAGTAATGATCTCCGTGTCTATTAAGGGGAATGATGCTATTTTATATATAGGTTCTTCAGGAAAGACCTCACTGAGACGGTGGCACTTGACTAGATTTAAAGAAAAGGGAAGGAGGGAGCTATGCAGGTGTTCACTTATTTAACAATATTTCCTAAATAAGCACCTGTTATGACAGGTTTTGTTCCAAACGCAAGGGACAAAGAAGTGAAGAAAACAGGCAAATCTCTGACTTCATGGAGCTTGGTGAGACTAACAATAAGCAAAACAATTCAAGTAACATGTATATCAGATTAGCTAAATCAAAAAAATAAAGCAGGAAATGGGATAGGAAGTGAGTACAGAGGGTATTGAAATTTTAAATGATATGGCCAGGGAAGGTCTCACTGAGAATGTGACACTTGAGAAAAATCTGAAGGATGTAAAAAAAGAGTCATGCTGTTATCGGAAAGAAAGACAATTTCAGACACAGGAAGCAGACCAATGTAAAGGACCTGAGCCTGGACATAGCCTGGAATGTTAGAGGAACAGCAAGAAAGCCAGTGGGGGTACAAGGAGTAACAAAGGGGGAGTCACAGAGATAGAATGAGCCCATGATAAAGTCTTTGGATTTTACTGTAGGTGAGCTGGAAAACCAGTGAAAAGTTTTAGGAAGCAGAAAATGATAATGATTTATATTTTTAGAAGATTACTTTGGCTGCTGTTTTGAGACTAGCCTGAGTGGGGAAAGATGTAAACCCCAGAGAGACCAGTCAGGAGGCTATTTTAGTACTCCAGTGGTAGTAATAGAAATAATGAGACATGTCAGGCATGTTCCATAGCTGTTAAGCTCTCTCATCTATTTGAGAATACCCTTCTCTAAAGTATTGGGACAGCTGGTTTACAATTCAGATTAACCTGGAATCCTAGTCTTCTGGATGGCTTCTCTACTCACTGTGCTTTGCAGTGAAAATAATCACAGTATTAGGGAAACAGTATGGAGATTCCTCAAAAAGTTAAAAATAGAACTACCTTATGACCCAACAATCCCACTTCTGGGTATTTATCTATCTGAAGGAAATAAAATCACTATCTCAAAAATATATCTGGGGTGAGGGGGGTTGTCACTTTGTGAAGGGTGAAAAGTATAACTATTGTTTTGTACACCTGAAACTAATAAATACATATATCTCTGTACCCCCATCCATCTTCATTGCAGCATTATTCGCAATTAGCCAAGATACAGAAACATGGAAACAAACTAAGTATGCCAGAAACAGTGATGAACACCATATATATATATATATATATTTCTTATTATAAATTATAGTATCACAGGGTTGCAAAGTGATGCTACTCTA